TGAAGACCTTCGTATGGAAGAGGACAATGACAAAGATAAGCATCAGCCGATGAAAAATCAAAACAAACACCACCATTTTGACAGGGTTGTGCAGCACATCGAGATCCAGTTGGAAATACTGATGTATTTGCTATAATAATACAAATGACTTCAAATCGAAATACAATTTTATTTTTCATTTACTTGTTTTGTTCACACATCCACCGATTTTCAATGATACTTCAGTACCTGGTGGACACATTTGTTTTATGCCTTTGTCATAAGAAGTGCAATAAAAATAGCCAGAAGAGTTTTGTAATGCTGCCACTCTCTGAGGTATATAATGTGGCTCGCATACATTTAATGGTACTAAAATAATGTAAACAATAGTATGATGAGCAGAGCACATATGAAAATAATGACACTTACTTTCCTCTTCAAATAATTCTATATCAAAATCATAGCCAATAAGGACGTGACCAAATTCACCACCATTTGTATTTGACATATATTTGATATTCCATCGTTGCTCGTCTACAATCAAGTACATAATATAAATAATATAAATGTTAGATCAAGTAGAGTGCAAAAAGATAGGAATAGCTCCCCATTCCATATAATTTACTTGTGATTTCTATTCTATGAGTAAAATCATCTTCTGAGAAATTTCTCAAAAAATGCCTTTAAAAATTATTCTTTGTTTTTTCTGAAAATGTTCTTAATCAATAATTCTTTTCTGTCGAAGAGACAGACTTCTGATAATAGCTTTCAATGAAAAAAAATTGTTCTTCATGGTTAACATAAAGAATAACATTAATATATTTCTATATAATAAAGAAATGTGCTACAAATCGCTTTTAGAAAACGATCAAATTTAAGTGAACACTTTTTCTCAACTAGATGAATGATAGGTTATTTGCGAAACTTTGAAAGAAGAGAGAACAGGGTGTAGATGTGGATTTGGGTTAAGAGAAGATAGACACCCACACCCATCACCCTTATTAGAACAAAAACAAAACAGTTACAAATAGAAATTTAAACTGTATAGAAACAGTACAAAAATAACGTATGATCAAAACCACTTTTCTCTAGTAAATCACAGATGGAAACAAGTTTCTTCAAAATAATCCTAGTCAAAAAGGATTGAATTTCAGTTACATTAGCTTATCTATTTCACTTCTGATGTGATGTAGAAACTCGAACAAGTCTTAATTAACTTTTTGGCAATTCAGCAATTTCATATGAAGATTAAGTTGATGATGGAAGCTCATACATCAAACTACTTCTATCACTAAAAGATTTTGAGAAAATGAAATTTTCTCAAAAGTGGAGACAAGGACATCTCAATTAGTTTTTCTAGCAAGCCATTTTCATTAAAAACAAAAATGATTTTTTCTGTAAACCGTAATTTTCTGAATACTACAGAGAAACTGTTGAACAAGAGATACATATTGTAAAGCAAAGGTCTGTTTATTTCCGCATTAGTTTTAATATTTTTGATCAAAATAAAAACGATCAAACTGAATTTGTGAATACTATTCATGTAGTAAAAGAAAAATAATATTGGAAAGAGAAATCATGAGAACATGACATACTCGACAATATCTCTCTTTCTCATTTTATCTTATAAAACATATCATATGGATACTAATCAAACTTTTTTTGTCATTTAAATCCTAGTTTCTGGTTATAAACTTGTAGCTTACCTGGTATACGTCGAGCCTGTGAATGTAAAAGAAACAGAGGAAAAAGTAGAATATTGAGTAGCATATTCAGAGGAAACAATTCAAATGGCAAGCAACCTAAACTTTTCTTGGATGATTGTTTATCAGTTTATCATGAACTTTGACCTCAATACACTCAATGACATAGACGTATATTTTGGCAGCAGAGAAGGATACATTGTAGGAGAAAAGGAATCAGAATGAGCTGCGTTTTTTTATAATTATTATTTGATCGGAATATTCTACGTTGTTGTTCTCTTTCCTTCTCATCGTCATTTCGTCCATTTATCTCGTTTGATAACAATACTATTTAGTTTTATCTTTCTCTGACCTCAAATATTGGTGATCGTGTGAAGAGAGCATAAGTTGTTTGTTCATCCATGCTATACCCATTATGTGTATATCACGTAGAGAGATGTATATAGCTGTCGTTAGTTTCAAACAATTGGAAAACTATCTACTTGTACTCATTATCCAATCACTGAAATAAAATGAATAACTTTTCGATATTGTTATCATCAACATCCTTCTATACTTGCCAAACACTGTTTTTGTTTTAAATTGTTTTTTCATAGTGTTACACTCATATCTTCATATGCCTTCACACATTCTTTCTTTTTTCTTTTTTCTGTTTTCGTTATTCATTCGAAAAAAACACAACGTGAAGAGAAACTGCTCTCATACATATCTTATTTCTTTTTTCTATCATAACCATGTGCACGTATGTTATTTTTTTCCTTCTTGATATTTACCTAACGACGACACACGATAAAAATAGTAGTCTGATGTGAATAAAGTTGGAAAAAATAAAGTGCGCATACATGTAACAATGTCAGTCTCGTTTGAAATCAATCCTCGTCTTCTAGTCGATATTC